GGGGGGTTGGGGGGAAATAAGCCAGGGAAGAGAGAAGAGAGAAGTAAAGGAGGCAGTGGTGGAGCAGGGAGATAATGGAGCCAGCAGAGAGAAACTAGCCCCAGCCTTGGACTGCTGCTCATTTCAACCACTGCAGACAATCTAGACTTCTGGAGGACTTCCTTCTTTGGAAGGTTGGTTTTTGGTTGTTTTTTTTTTCTAGGGCTTTTGGCTGGTTTCTTGTGTTTGCTGTGAGGCCGTGGGGTTTTTTTTAATTTAATGGAGTTCAGGGTTTTTTTCCATTTTTGTTTTGTTTTGTCTTCCTATTTTCTTACACAAACTTTGAATTAGACTTATAAATGCTGAAAAAAAAAAAACCCAAACAAACTAAAAATAACCCTGTTCTGCCCATTTTTAACTTTGGAAGAATATGAACATTCAGGATTTAGTAGCTTTATTATTCCTCCTTGCCTAAATCTTGTTATGGACACATCAGAGCTTATGGAAATTGCAAAGATACTAAAAAGAGTTCATAAAAAAACCTCTTAAAACAGACTCAGCTGCAGCCAGTTTTAAAATATCTTGCAGGAACATGTGCTGTAGATTAGGAAATTCACTTGTAAAAACAGCTTTGATGAGGCATCTGCATTGCTGCATGCAATAGTTTACAGGCAGTAAAAGTAAATGATGGATCATACACGTAATGTTACATCACCACCAGCTTGTGCTTTAAAAACACATTTCAGAAAGATGATGGGACTCTGTGACATTGCAATTGAGATGTTCTGGAAGGAAAAAAAAACAAAACCAAATCCTGCAGAAATGGGGAATTGTGCCTTCTGAATGGATTGCAAATCCCAGATGATATCCCAACCCACACATTCTGCTCAGATGCAGCAGCATACAAAATACTCTAATTTTAACACTGCAAGCACCGTGAAAAGGTTTCCCATCTATTTACATGTCTAGCAAAAATAAGAGTTGCAATATGGTTTCAGCAGTATAGTTTTTCTATTTTTGGAACCATACCTTAGTTTTCCAACTTATATTTCAAGTCTCACTACTTTCCAACAAATTCATGTCCTCACCTGGTAACAAAAAGAATCTCTCCACTAAATAGAAAATTGGGGTTTTAACCCATGTTACTGAAATAACTTTATTTTCTAAATGTGTTTCTATGCATTTATTCTGTCTGTTCCATGCATTAAGGTGACTATAGTGTGGCACATGCCAAATGCCAAATCAAAGCTCTGCCAGATAGGAGGCTTGTAGAGAACACCCTGGGATCAAGAGGTGGGAAGGTGAGCAGAGAAAACTCTTTGTGAATTTAGACTTTGCTACATGTTGTGTGAGGAGAGGAGGAACCTTCTGAATTGTTTTGGGAAAATCACTTCCAAGGTTAAGTTCGGTACTAAAGGCACAAGATAAATCTCATCCAGTTCAACAGTGGCTGGACAACAGCAACGCATGGGGGAACCATCAGTTAGAATTAGGGAATGGAAACAACTCCTGCCACGGGATACAGATACTAATAAAAGACAACGCTAGAAACAATAGTCACCAGCAAAACCCCTGTGGAAGCATCTGGCTTGTTCCTTCTGCACCGTCATGAAACAAACGCTGGGAAGTCCATTGTTTGACACAGGAGATAAGAAAGGTTACGTGACGACAGAAGCCAAATCCAAAGCCATAATCTCCAGCCTTCCCTCTGCATCTAAACTGTTCCACTGTTGGTTTTTTTTGACTCCCACGTTCTCAGAGGCTTACGTAATTACTAGTCATGACTGCTAGAATTTATAGCTGGAAAAGCTTATCTCGGGACAGCGTTCAGGCTGAGAGCTCAGGCAATTAAGTACAAAACATTAGGGAGATATAAGAATTATTTCAAACAATGGTGCAATCTGGGTGCTGTCGCTGCCTCACAGCAAAGGGGAAGCTTGTCCAAGTCATCAGCCATTTGTGCTTGTGGATGCAGGGCTGGAGAAGCCTTGGCTGTGTGTATGTGAGAAAGGAAACAAAAATCTCATCTCAATATGACAATTATTCCTGTGCCCATCAGAGCAGAAAAAGTTCTTCCAATGCACTGCGCCAGGTACTCATAACTGGCATCCACACCTTTCTGTTACTGATTGACATTTTCTACAGCTTTTCTTTACATTGAAGTTTTAGAGAAGCCAAGGCACAAATATTGAATCTTCTCTTGCCTCCCCCAAGAGAAGGAAACGTGAAGGAGTTGGTATGGACATCTGCACGGCCATGTCCACCTCTAACCAACCTTCAGCTGGCAGCTGCTCCTCCAGCATGCAACCATCCCAGAGGTCTTCTTCTGGTGAAAAGCTTTTTCAAATACACAACGTAAGCAGCTACTGACAACTACACACATCACTTCCAAGAGCTAAGGTACTCTTCCCTGGACAGAGAGAGTACATAAAAATCATTTTCATTAAAAAAAAAAATAATAAAATAATCAAGATTTAAAATTTGGAGATGACACAGCCCATTATTAAATGATTACAGAGAGTGGTTCAGTGTGTGTATCTCTGATATAAGCCTAAAAGTCAAAAAACTATTTGGATAACTTACAGTATCTGCTCTGTGAGAAGAATTAATTGCAAACTGCCCTCAGTTTTACAGAACTATGGTCTGTCCCAACCCCTTTCTTCTATACACATCCAGAGCCCAGCCTGCAAACTTATTCCCAGAAGGAACACAGCCAAGTTAAACACTTGCTGTGAAGGAGAGCAGTGTTTTGGCACACATTCCACACAACAGTTGATCCCAGTACTACCAGGGTATGCAGGTAACACTTCTAGTCGTGTACAACTCCAGAAAAACAAGCTGCTATACCTGCTGTGGGACACCAGGCCAGAGCACAAACTGAATTTGAAAACAAAACAAGTTCTTACCCTCATGCCAAGTACCAAAAAGCCAATCTCTTCCATCAGTGGGTACTTGCTGACCTGCTGCTGTATCTTCTCAGCTGAAGCATAGGGATCGTAACTTTTCTGACCTATTTTTACATCCATTATGCAAGGCTTATTAAACTTACGGGTCACATCTTCCAGTTTTAGATACGTATCTGTTAAAAAGACAAAACTTTTGTCAACAGGGGAGTGGAAGCAAAATAATTATGTCATTTCTGCTCAGCTTCTCTGGAGGAAGGAGAATGGTTTAAGGCTTAACAACATGTGAGCCTCTTAAGAGACAAATGTGTCTCTGAACACAAACTAAATCATGGTCATTGACACCCACAAATTCTGCTGGCATTAAATTTTAAATGCCTTATTGTTTAGAAAATGGTATACAATTAAGTGTGCTAATCTAAGCACTCAAATTCTAATGATTGCCCAGATGAACTTCAATGAGTAACTTTTATTAAGCCATTAACATAGTTTGAATAGCATTACTAAGCACGTACAAATGCAGGTTACTACATGGCTGGTTTTGCAGTGGAGATGGTGTTTTCCTTCTCTATGTGAAAGGGTTAGAATTGAACTGGCAATTTTCCTTTTTGTCATTTTAAAAACTAAATTAACATTTCAGAGTCTTACACTAGAGGGGCTGAAATGCACCTCATTTTCCTTCTTTTTATCCCCCCCCAGCTGTACTCATTTCTCAAAGCAAACTCTTTGGGGAAAACATTTGAAATCCTAGGCTGCCTTTCATCCATTTCCAAAAGGCCCTTTGGGTTGGTGGGTGGACCAAAACCCTCCCAAGCCCAAACCTGAAGGTTTAAAGGAGTAACTTAAACCTGGGCAAACTGTTTGATGCTTTTCTCCAAGGCAGGTAAGAGACTGTTTTCCAGCATGATCTACAGCACCCATGGTCAGAACACAACGGGAAAATAAACTTCATTAACTGCTTTACTTGCAGACAACCCTGCTTGGAGGAAGCTTGCACAGATCCCCAGCCCTTGCCAGAGCACAATGTGCACCAAGACAACATGCAGCATTAACACACATCTCGTTCTTCACACCAGCTTCTGCAAATCCATCTCTTACCAGTCACCAACTACACACTGACGTTCGTTTTCCTGTCAAGTACAGCCTATTTAGTGAGTGGATTTCTTTGGCTTTAATGCCATCTGAACACACACAAACAGTGTTTTTACCCATTCCTCCAGCATCACCTAAAACAGGATTGCAAAGGAAAGCAAAACCAGTTCAAGTTTAAAAGAGAGAGGAGGGACAAAGTTCCGTCTTTCCACAGCTGTACAGCCAGGTAACAAAACCACTTAGAGTCAAGGTAAAGCAAACAAGCAATGCTCCATTTCCACTTTGTAAGTAGAAACACTTTATTCAGGATAAGAAAGGGACTTCAGTTACTTTAATAAATCCTGCTTGACAGCTTTTATTCAGCACCTCCAAAATCTTTACAAATTCCAAGTACCTCTCACTTTTTAGTTCCCCATTCATTTCAGATCTGTTCAGCTAGACTCTCTCCCTTACTGACCTCCTAAAAATGTAACCATTCCTATTAACAACAAAAAAAGTGCATTAAAATAACTTAGGAGCTAACACTAAGCCTGGAAAATACTAATTACTTGGCAAAGCCTGTGAATTACCCAGGAGTTACTCATCTCCCTCACACTTTCTGGAGTCACTATTGAAGTCTCCATGGTTAGCTAACTGCTAGCTCAAAAATAAGACTCTGTTACAACTGTTCAATGCACATCCCCACCCTCAAAGAGCTTCTTGTCCTTTTAGGGAGAGCAACACCACCCCAGACGAAGTATTATACCAAGTTATTTTTTCTCACTACAGCCTCAGAAAAACACACCAGGTGTTTATGCTTCATTTTCCTGGCACTGTTTGGCTCTTACCTGCATTGTGTTTGAGATGTCTGGTCTGCTGAATCAGAGCCCAAACCCACAGTATCAAACACACCACAACTTTCAGTGGTTGCCCCTATGGCATCTGAAAGCATTTAGACCAAGACAAACCAAGCAAGCTCCAACTTCAGACCTCAGTGGGTATCCTTGCTGCATCTTCTCATGTCAGGTGCTCTCACAGCTTTTGAGCATCTGACTCCAAGAGTCCTTTTCTCAAAGTCATCAACAAGCTTGCAGCAGAACCTAGATAACTAGAGCACCCTCCTTCCTCTCCTTCTTGTGTGAAACAAAAAAACTGCACATTTTTGAAGCAGCTTCAGATGTTCTGAATTATGATGTAGTACACTGCTAACCCAGCTGGCTTCTGAGAATCATGAATTCACCATCTAAAACCAGCTTAAAGTAAAAAACCTTGCAGAGAAAAGAATCTGTAAGGATTTCTTAGCTTTGTTAGATAATCCTGACTATATATTTCAAGGATTTAAACACATCGTTCCTCAGAGGCTTGTCCTCCCCCTTTCTATTTTTCAGTGGCAGGAAGATGTGGTTTGATTTATTATTTACATCTTTTATTACAGTCCCAAAGGAGACAAACTAAAAGACCACCACAGCTCAGCAAGTATGCATGGCATGAACCACTGCAGACTGCAGCACGTACATGCTGATGCATCCAGTCCTCACTGGAATCAGAAGTGACACAATAACTTCAGGCATTTGACTTCTTCTCATAACTTACCAGACATCTCCCAAAACATATGAATAAGCAGGGAAAAGCTTCAGCTGCCCCCAGCAACAAGGGGAGGAAATAAAGGTTTGAAGCTGGCTTATATTTATCAACCCTGTTATCAGTTAAGGCAATAAAAATTAGAGCACAGCATGAAATGAGCAGCAGTAAAGTTACTGAACAAAAAATATGCTGGGGCAACAAGTAGACAGCAAACCCCAGAACTCACAGCAGGAGATAAAAAGCTTCACAGGGCTCCTACCTCTTTATTAACAACTTTTCCACTTCTTTATTAACAAACTCCAAATGCCCACAATGGCAGTGAAGCTGAAGCTCAAATCAAACTGTCTCATTCCAGTTTAAGCTTAGGGAGATGCCCTGCCACCCATCTATGACTCCATCTCCTGTGCAGCAGTTCTAAGTATGTGGTTTCAGCATCTCAGGACAGTTCCTTGACAAATTCTATTGCACATCAGTCCATACTTCTGTCACAATTCCTGTATTCTCAGTCACACTTCATACATTTCACCCCTTTTAGCAAGCAATGTCATCCATTCATCTACATTTCCAGCAAAGACTGATGCTCCTCCATAAATATTTCTCTAAGAAACTCAACTCCTTGTGTTCTCCACCTTACCTAGCGCAGCTCCTGCTTACCTGTCACATGGAAACCCAGAGACAGTCACAAACCAAGGGCAGAGTGGTTCTAAATTAAGTTACTCTGGCCTTTTTCGTAGTACAACTTTACTATATGAACCTACTCAGATTCTCAACCCTTGACCCAAGACAACAACTACGATGCTATACATTCAAGACACCATTCCCCAAGAGCCCTGCTTCTTCCTTATCCCATCAATAGAGGAACTTCTGATGAAACAAGGACACCATTCTCTCTCTCTCTCTCTGACCTGGCAAACCAGGCAAATGGCTGTTCCTACACATAAACACTCATTTTATGTGTGTGTGTGTGTGTGTATTCCAGAACATGCAGCAAGCAGTTTGGTAACTGATATATTGTTTAATTTAATTTTGAGTTTTTCATAAGTCAGCTATGCCAAATTCAGCAACAAGAAGGAATGACTGGGTTCACTAGGCTGTCTGGAGCTGTGTCCGCCGAGTCTGGGGAGCAGTGACTGCCAAAGGACAGGTCAGGCTTCCAAAAGGCTGCAGAAATCTACAAATACATCCTCCAACTACACCAAAGAACTAGATACCCTTCTAGCAGCTAGATTCCCTCATCTAATGTCACCAGGACACACCACAGCAGCTCAGCATATTGTCCCACCTTTTGAGCCAGAGCTTAACCCTCAGTTTATCTGGGGGGACAGGTAACAAAGCCATCCCTGACTTCCCCAAAACAGCCTCTCCATGTCCCTCCTCTGTGTGGTTGCTTCCCCTCTTCCCATCTTTCTAACCTTGTTTTCCTACTTACTATGCAGTCAAAATGCAACACTGCTGATTCTTTTCACCTCTGGTGCCAAGAACCCACAGCACAGGGCTTTTCCTTCACACCATCTGGCATTAGCCAAAATGTATATGCAAACACCTGCTAAACAAGAGGTGACTTCCAACGTGGATGGCTACCTGCCTTCCGTTCAGCTCCACCATCTCCAACGTACTTGACTTTTTTACCAAAACTACCCAAAACTCATTAATACTACAGGAAACAGCTGGCAGTGGAGCTTTTTGGTTGAACCCCTGCCACAGCTTTCTATGGAGAGGGGCTCCTGGTAGTGCACAGTCTTTTCAAGAAGCAAAACAAACAAAATCAGAAGTTGTTCTTCCTTAAAACAGTTATTCCTACTGGCTATGCCTAGACTACTGGTGGAGACCTGCCAAAATTCAGCCCCATGGTGCACATTGCTAGTGAATTCCCAAAGTAAACCAGAGACGTGTCAAATTACCGCATCTTGGCTAGACCACAATTTTACATCTTAAGCTCCTATTGAGAATAGAAAGAATTGATTAGCAATTTGGAGGGGACATAAAGTGAGCTCCATGACACATAAAATTCTGAGGGAAGGACAAAGATAGTTCCAGTAGAGCTGTTTGAGTTAGTGCCAAAAATGAGAGTGTGAAGGCAAGTCTGAGCCAAGGAAGTGCTGGGTACTACCACAATGCTCCCTGCCTTTCTTTTCCCAGAAGTTAGACAGGATCTTTGGACACAGTCTTACTACTCTCTTTGGAAAACAAGTCTATCAAGTGACAGTAAAAGTAAAAGAAGACTTGGTGCTATTAAAGGAGCACAGCACCTCATTTAGGTGCCCATGTATTTAAACAGACTGGATGGCATCCTTTTGTTTCTGTGTTTTCCAGAAACTCCATTTCCCCAGCAGGAGTAAGGAAAGTCCCTAGAAGAAAAGTTCTCTTTTTAAAAATACATCAATAATATCTATTTTGTCTCAGAGAAATCTTTCAGTTGTCCTCCCAAAATACCTTTTTCCTCCTGACTCTTAAGGTATCATACAAAGTTCAGATACCAGAGCTTTGCTCCATGCAATCCAGGAGCACAGGATTACAAGCAGAACTCCCAAGGTACCTGCTGAAATAACTGCCTTGTATGATCTAGCATGGCAATGGGATCCAGCCTCTGGAGATCCAGCAGCAGATTCCACTTTGAAAGCCTCCCCTTAGGCCCCAACCCATCCATTTTTTTCTTCCTTATACGCCCACACAGCTCCTGTCTCTTGCTCCAGGGGCCTGACCAGACATAAACATGCAACCAGCCCACTCCACCAAGACCCAGACCAGAGCAGCAGGTCCAGCTACTCAAGAAGCATCTGCCATACAAACCACCATTCCACATCTCCCCTGGGAATCACAACTCCAAAACCTAACCTAGCCAGAGGAGAGCAAACTGGAACGTGTTTTTCAAGGCAACATCAGTGGGTTACAAACCAAAACCAAAAAAAAAAACAAGCCTGCAGAGCTCACAACTGCCTAAAACCAGGCTCTAGATTTTTCCAGGAGGTTTGGATTAACAGATAAAATTAGAACAGTACCATTTGGTGCAGTAGGTGGTGACCAGACACCGAAGTATTTTGGCAGATATTCCCGCAGCTCCAGAAGAACGCTGTCGCAACACTCCGAGTCATAAACCTGAAATAAATTGGGGAGGGGGGGAGATCATCAGATTAAAACATTAATCTTATACTCCAAATCATCCCATAAATATAGAAAACAAAGAAATGGTGATTAAGTTTTCTACTTTATATTTTTTAGAAGCATACAAGGTGAGGATGATCATTACCACGGTCTCACATAAACGAAGGGCATCCTTTTGTTTCAAATTTTAATGTGGTGAGGACGAATCAAGTCCAACTAAGAACAATGAAAATTTGTTAGCATTAAAGTTTATGTAGAGAAATTAGTGTTCTCCCATCCTGGACCCAAGATGGAAAAGGATTATTAAGTTGTATCATACAGCCCAAGTTTTTGAGTTACATCAGGTCAAGCACACAAGCTCAGACTGGACAGTGTTGCCTTGTTTCCTCCAAACCAATTCATCCTGTAAATGCATCACACAGACAAAGCACAATTTCTAAGTCTTTTTGCTTTCAACATTGTTTTCAACTTCTGTAAGAAAAGCAAGAAAAATCTGGGAACAGCACCTGGCTTCTATTCCTGAAGGAGTCATTCTCTGCCAAGATCTAACCAAGCTTCAATCCTGCCTGCTCTGGAATGGTGGGGCTGTCACCCCTCTGCAGAGCTGCTGCTATGAGAGTTTCAAAACCAGCCCCTTGGCCAGATTCCCGTCAACCCCACCTGAAGCTGCAACCATGGGGGACAGCCTATGGCACTGTTCAAAGCAGTTGGCAGGCTAGAATCACAGAATGACAGACTGGTTTGGGTTGGAAGGGACCTTAAAGATCAGCCAGTTCCAACCCCCTGCATGGGCAGGGACACCTCCCACCAGCCCAGGTTGCTCCAAGCCCCACCCAACCTGCCCTTCAACACTGCCAGAGATGGGGCAGCCACAGCTTCCCTGGGCAACCTGGGCCAGGCTCTCACTACCCTCATAGTGAAGAATTTCCTCATAATGTCCAACCTAAATCAAGTACAGGTTATAATCATACCTGCATTTAGGAACCATCTCATCCTAACACCCTTGCAGCTATCCCAGTTCTGATGCTATCAGACCCATGTCCTGTCCCTCAGCCCTGCAGCAGCTGCCCAGCAACATCCTCAGACGCTGTGACAAGTTCTGGGGACAAGCTCAGGAGTCTCCTTTCCCTGCAGGACTCCATGCCCAGAGCTCACTGCCAAGTCAGAAGCAATGCACAAAACCAGTGAAGATCTCAACAGAGCTCTGCAGAGTTGGCTCAGCTCGTTGCTTCAAAGTCTACAGTCGACCATGGTGGGAGAGGATCTTGAGATGGGAGCTCTGCAGGGCAGCTGTCACAAAATACATGCCTTGAGCATATTGATACCTCTGGGGACCAAAAAAACCCAGCCCTGAAGTCCAGCTACTACTTTGGAGCACCAAGGCAAGTCTTGGATGCTGTGTAACTCCAGACAGAGCCCTGTGCAGCAGCAGCAGGTTATCGTTAGTAAATATGGGTCTGTGCTAAATCTAGCTTTTGTGGCAGAGACCTCAAACTGGACAGACTCAAACCACCAGTGTGCTCCACATGCACAGCCTTGGTCCACAGCCCACTAGCTGAAAAGGGGCTCTCCTGGGCTTCTCACACAGGGCAGTGATCAAGAAGCTGATTCAACTAAATCCACACCAACATCATAGATTTGTTTGGAAGGGACCTCAAAGACCTTCTAGATCCAACCTCCCTGCATTGGCAGGAACACCTCCCACTAGATCAGGTTGCTCAGAGACTTCATGCCAGAACATTTAATTTGACCCAGGCATTTAACCAGCTTATGGCATAAGCCCCAATTTAAAGATCCTAAGGAGGGGACTGAACCCTCAAGGCTCAAACCACACCAATACGTGTGGAGCGTGGTGCAAACCCCTGAGGTATAACTACAGCCACACCCTCACCACTGCTGCTGCTATCTTGAGCGTACTGAAGCTGCTGGGTGTGTATCTCACTAGTCACAGTGTCACATCACAGGGCACTAGTGTCTTTCCACACCCCCTGCTTTGACAACCTGGCATCACCTCAGAGGACTGCAGGTAGTCATACATCTCAGCTTATTTCTCCTCCATGCTGCCACAAGCTGCTGTGCCAATATTCTTGTGCTTTAGGACAAAAAAACCTTGCTTGTCCCTGGGATCAGTGGCTGCTGTTAATTTTTATTTATGCAATATTCCTTTGCTGAGCCTCAGATGCTGCCAGCAGAAGACAAGAGCTTTCCCCAGAGGACTGCAATGTAGCTTGATTTTACTACCTTAAAGAAGAAAGAAAAACTCAGGGTGGGAGAGTCTGGGCCAGGACTCAAACACTCAAATTACTGCAAGCTGTGGGTATTTTCAGTCAAGTAGTAGAAAGACAATTTTTGTTTACTGTGGCAGTTTATTAACATGGCACTTCACAGCCAAGGCAAGTAATTCCACAGCACCCAGCACAAACACTCTTTTACCCCGTGAATCTAAGGAGATCTGAGAGGCAATATCACTGCCTTTACAGGAGAGCAAGAGTGTATGTTCAGGACAAAGAGCAGAGGGAGAGATGGAGGCAAAAAATGCAGCATACAAAGAAGGAAAAGCTCTGAACACAACTGAAATACCAGGCCAACATAGTAAGAGCTCATTTGCTTAATTTACTGGCAAAAACAGACCCTGAGAAAGTGACATGTTGGAGACCACTTCCATTTTTTAAAGAGAGATCATACTCTTGCTTTGACTTCCTTTTTTATCACCAACATGAGGTGATTTACTTGCTAAGTTTACTACAAGTACGCTCCTATATATTTCAAATAATAGGAACAATAAAGACACTCAGGTAGCATGCAATACTGTTTCAGAGCTCCAAGTCAAGGCCAAATAGGAAAAAGAGCCCCAGGAGGGGTATCTTCCAAGCAGTCTATCCTTTAATACCCTGGAATCAGATACTTTAAATGGAGACAAAACTCCCAGTCATGCCTTGTTCACTACCGTAACTTCAGCATAAGAGAACTAAGTGCATTATTTCTGTCTCCCCAGAAGTTATCTTGCTCCCACAAACAGTAATAAACTCTCAGAAGTCTGACCTAACATTTACAAAGCACTCATTTGACCTTAATACAGACCTCAGCCTGCAGGATTTTTGCATTTTTAGGCAAAAGTAGAATGTATAAAACAGGGATAATTCCAAGCTGCAGAAGTTCGGCAAAGCAGCAAGTCAATTTTTGTTTACTGTGGCAGTTTATTAACATGGCACTTCACAGCCAAGGCAAGTAATTCCACAGCACCCAGCACAAACACTCTTTTACCCCGTGAATCTAAGGAGATCTGAGAGGCAATATCACTGCCTTTACAGGAGAGCAAGAGTGTATGTTCAGGACAAAGAGCAGAGGGAGAGATGGAGGCAAAAAATGCAGCATACAAAGAAGGAAAAGCTCTGAACACAACTGAAATACCAGGCCAACATAGTAAGAGCTCATTTGCTTAATTTACTGGCAAAAACAGACCCTGAGAAAGTGACATGTTGGAGACCACTTCCATTTTTTAAAGAGAGATCATACTCTTGCTTTGACTTCCTTTTTTATCACCAACATGAGGTGATTTACTTGCTAAGTTTACTACAAGTACGCTCCTATATATTTCAAATAATAGGAACAATAAAGACACTCAGGTAGCATGCAATACTGTTTCAGAGCTCCAAGTCAAGGCCAAATAGGAAAAAGAGCCCCAGGAGGGGTATCTTCCAAGCAGTCTATCCTTTAATACCCTGGAATCAGATACTTTAAATGGAGACAAAACTCCCAGTCATGCCTTGTTCACTACCGTAACTTCAGCATAAGAGAACTAAGTGCATTATTTCTGTCTCCCCAGAAGTTATCTTGCTCCCACAAACAGTAATAAACTCTCAGAAGTCTGACCTAACATTTACAAAGCACCCATTTGACCTTAATACAGACCTCAGCCTCAGCCTGCAGTGAATTTGCACGTCAAACGAGAATAAGCACTCAGTTAATAAAGATCAGAGGAAGTCGTTTGGTGTGGGCAAAGCAGCAAGTCCAGACATTTCAGGAATTGTGCTCATTCCTATGCAGGAGAGAAGCTCTTCTGCTCCTTAAAGAGAGGCCCCACAAACCAAGTACCCATGGCATGAGCATTTCTTCTCATTTCATACCCAAGCTACACGTTTAGATGTCCTCCAGAACGCCAGATATCAAGGTACATGTGACAAAACCACCCCTAAAGCTCTATAAATAAATATAAATCATATGTAATTAAATATAATGGCAATAAACTGTACACCTCGTGCCCCAAAAGGTATTGCTATTTGTAAAGTTATTTTGTAAAGATATTGCTTTTTGGTAAACTCAGGGAAGACACGTTCTCACCCCAGAACAACCTTGAGAAAGAAAACATTCCATTTTACTTATATCAACCATATTCCAATTTCACTTCAAGCAGCTGTACTTTTCTTATTATTAACATTAACAAAAGGTCCATTTCTCCAGCAAACACTGACAAATCTAAGTTACTTCTGCTTTAACTGTCCATAATGTCTTCATCCAACAAATCAAGAACTGCAAAATACTTGGGTGTCAGCTCAGCCAGGGGAGACATCCATTCCACTTATCACAAGATACATTCTTCCAATAGCACAAACTAGAAACATAAAATCTAATAACTAATGGGCTTAAAAGCAAGTAAATAGGATGCTGACATTTGGAGGGCTCACAACACAACCATTACGAATTACAGCAACCAACTCATAGGAAGAATATGCCCCAGATAAGTCCTGTAGCAGCTCAGATAGCCTAATAGACACTATGAAGTCATAATTTCCAGTTACTCAGGACTTTAATTCCGAGGCAATTTCACCATCCCTTAGTTTTAAATCCAAAGTACACTCTGTTTGTTTTGGTAAGTCTGATCCAAACAGATTCATCTGGTTTTGAATGCAAACAGGGGCTGCCTGAGAGAATGGCAATGTTCTTTTGCTTATTTAAAGCAGCATGACATTCGAGGTTTTTTGAGCTTTCTAAAG